ATGAGAGAATGCACTAGGCACTCAAACAACTTACATCATTATTCATAGATTCATTAGGTGAGGATGTCCTTTCAACCTTAGAATCATCAACATGTGAGTAAACATTTCACATCACATTCATAGTGTGTCATGAGAATGGTCTTTCAATTAACACAGTAAGCTTATCATAAACATACATACATACATACTTCAAGCATAATCAAGTGTAAGGGTATAGGGAAAAAGGATTTTGCATCAATACCACAATTACATAATAGTTAGAGGATCATCACTATCTAAGTGAATCACAAGTTCATATACAATCTTCATCAACATGTATAAACCCTAACAAGTTACCCTTCAAGGCTATGAATCAAGATCAACCCTAACTTACAGAATTACCATATTAGATAGAGGGATATCATAATTCAACAACTTAATCAATGTAAACATAATCAATTGTCAAGCTCCCATCATCAATCAAGTCATGCCATAGTTTACAATTTAGGAAGAAGGGGGAATCATGAGTCCAAGAGAGATTTTCATCATAATTCAACAGTACTCCAACATTCCAATCATAAATCATCATAATCAACCATAATAAACCATAATTAAACAATGGAAAATGTTTTGGAAGAAGGCCCATGATAATAGATTGAAAACCCTATGTTTGGGGGATGTGAAATCTTAAAAACATAGTTTGAAGGGGCTCTTTGGGTGATAGCTACCCAATGATGAAAAGCATATATACCTTGACTAAGAAACTCTAAGAAATTTGGGGAAGAACCTTGAAAATCCACAAACCCTAGCTTCAATGGCTAATTTCTTCTTCTTTGTGTCTAGAGAGAAAAATATTGAGAGAGAAGGAAGTTTTTTTTATTTCAATTGGGTGTTTGTGAATAATGACTTAGTCTTGTGAAATTTGACTTAAAAACAACTTATATACTTCTCCTAAAAATACTCAAAACTACCCCACTTTAATTGGACTAAAAGGGAAATGACCCAGCTAACCCTCATTTAACTCACTTTGTCAGCGGCCACGGGCCACCTTCATGGGCCGTGGTGTGGACCATGACCTGTGATCCTGCCCGTGAAGGTGAGACAATGGCCATGTTTTTGGAGCACAAGGCTCATTTGTCCAAGGCATCCTCACGAGCCCCTTCACGAGCCATGAAGTGGACCACGACCCGTGGTTCTGCTCGTGAGAGGTGAGGCATTATCTAGCCTACCTCATGCCCCCAATCCCCCAATCCCCTATGCCCAAGTCTCTTTCACGAAGGGCTCCACGGGTCGTGGTCAAGACCACGAGCCGTAGTCCCTTCCGTGAAGTTGAGGCAGTGGCTAAGGTTTTGGGTGGCCACTTTTCCAAGGCCAAGGGAACTTCATGACCACCTCCATGAGTCGTGGAGTGGACCACGATCTGTGGTCCCTCTCGTGAAGGTGGGGCAGTGTGCTCCTAGCTAGGGGCAGCCTTGGCCTTTGGCCTTGGCTTGGCCCCTTCGCCTTGGCATTTGTCCCTTGGTCTTGACTCAAATAACCTTATTTTAACCTTAAATGACTTAGTAAAATTTGGGGAGTCATTTTACGACTTTTAACCTTACGTTTAGGCTTAGTTTAACCTATCATTTTTTGGGGTGTTGCAAAACGAGATTCTGAACGAATCTCGAAGTTCATTTTGAAAACTTTTGTGACTTGTATGAATTGCTGGTTTTTGTTGTCAGGTGCACTGCATTTTGTTCATTGCGATCGCTTGGTCTTCTCTTGCGATCGCGTAAAGCATTTTCTATATGCATTACAATTAAATCTCAGTCGCAATCTCGATTGTCAGCGTAAGTGAGTTGACCTTTTTAACTCAACTTGATCACTAGCTTTTGTTCATCGTAATCGCAATGAGCATTTTATACCTCGGAAAAATGTTTTTCAAAATTAGGTTTTTGACCCTATTTCACCATTTTTGGAGTTTGGGGTGCTTTTGTGTGGCGATTTGAACACGGTTTTTTGAGAACAAATAGCTGGATAACAATTCATAGCCTTAAATCTTCATTTACCCATTGTTATTAATGAATTTAAGCATTCAAATTAATGTTTTTGGAATGATAATTTGTGATTTCTTCAAAAACCCAAGAACTTGATAAAATGATGATTGTGTAATGATTTTGACTCTTTTTTTAAAAAAAAAATGGAAAAGGTCCTAAAATACCCTTGAACTATGACTTTTGGTACAATAATACCCTTCGTTAACTTTTCAGGCCAAAAATGCCCCTGACGTTTATTAAGTAGATTCGGGTTGTGGGTTGGAAATTTAATTAATTAGTTTATTTTAAAATCAACCAATAATATTGTGCCACATAATAAATGAATTTTGTAATTATATTTTCAGATAGAACCGTTTAAACTAAGGGTAATTTAGAGCCGAAAGGTTGACGTCAAGGACATTTTTGGCCTGAAAGTTTAACAGAGGGTATTATTGTACCAAAAGTCATAGTTTAAGGGTATTTTAGGCCATTTTCCGTTTTAAAAAAATGGTTTTCACCAATGTGTTACAAATGCCTTGGATAACATTTTCAAGTAAAGATTTTCGATTTCAAATCTCATTTTTAGAACCAATTTTTTAAAGTGTATGATATATGTGTTGTTATTTCCGAAATCTTATTGCGACTACTTGCCGGATTAGATTGTGTTGCTTTGGACATTGTTCGAAAAGGAAAAATTGAAGTCTCAGATTGACTTTTGATTTAATAGAAAGAAGTGAGCTTCTAAAACTTGTAAACTTTGTAGAATCTTGTATTTCCCTTCATTGTGTGTGTTGGATAGTGTCGGCAAAATGAGCCCATATTTTGATAACCCGTCCATATTTTAATGGATTGGGTGAGTGACTTTTTACATGGGTAAAATATGTGTTGATACCCATATTCAACCCATTAAAATATGGGTAAAATATGGATTAGCCAAATGGGTTATGCTTCTAACTTTTATTCACTCAAAATTAATGATATCACTAAAAATATTGTAACTTCTCTTCCTTTTTATGTTCTTGTATAGAACTAATTGTTTTTCTCTATAATTGAAAAGGTGAAGTCTTTGGCCCTCCAAAAATATATATATTTAAATGTACATTTATTTTGTTAATTATAATTATATTTATTTATTTAATTAATTAATTTTATATTGAATAATAAATAATAGTGTAAAATAAGCAAATCATGTATTAGTATTGACATTGCTTAAAGTGCATTAAGCATGTTTTAGTCCTAAAATGCAAATATTCATTTACTTTGAAATTAAAAATATTTTCCCCTTGTCATTACATAAATTTATTTTATATTGAAAAGTTATAGGGTTTTTTTTATTTACTTTTATGATACAATAAAACTAAATGAAGCATTTTCAACAATTTTCATCTAAAAAAAGACTAAAATATTTTCTCCATGTTGAATTCTTAAGTAAAGTACTATTTGCTCATGAAAATATGGATAAATATGGGTAAACTAGTATTTTACCCAACCCATTTGTTACCCAATCCATTTTTACCCATATCAAATATGGGCGGGTTGAATTATTATCCATTTTATGTTGACCCATTTTCAACCCACCCAAATTTGATCCAACCCACCCATTTGCCACCACTAGTGTTGGAGAATAATGAGAATGAGTTGATGGGTTCAATTATCCCACTTGATCGATTTTAATGAATAAAAAGTGGAATTAATGAAAAAGACAATGTGTTGATAGTTGTGCTTTGTGTATTACCTTGTTGTGGATCGCCCTAATTTGTTCAACAGTATATAAATTTAAGTGTCTATTTGTGCACACACAAAGTTGGAAGGCGTAGATATATATAATATGAGGCCAAGTAAAATAACATGTTTATGTATTATACCGAATTAGTGCGATCCGATTTTTTCTATTTTGTTTTTGGTTAAAACGAAAATCAAATCAAATTTTGTACCAAACCTAACGAAGATTACTTCAAGAAACTGAAACAGAGAGGAGCATAAGAGTTACTTACATTGAAAGATGAAAGTGAGAACAAAAGAACAAGTAAGATGCTTGAAGAAAGAAAAGTTTTGGTATGCATCGCTTTAGTGTGAAAAGAGAGTGTGAAGAGTAGAATGTTTGTTTGATGCACAAAATTTATAGTACTGAAGATGGTGGGAGTGTGGGGTTAGTTCTTGCCTCTAATTTTTACTCGCTCTGTTCAAAACTCACACTTTTCTGAATGTCATGAAAATGACTGCCAATGCAATTGATTTCACGTGTTATGTGAGTAAAATGATTATGCTTAATCAAGAAATATTCTCTTGTTCCTGATTATACGTACAATGATTATATACATTAACATCATGGTGTCATGATGTGAGCTATTTTTAGAAAAATCGTATAGGCTTGATTTAAAATGGACAATATCATATCAAATTAAAGGGAAAATGTATAAGTACACCCCAGTCTATGCTCAAAATCCCTGAGACACACCTAACATTTACTAAGGTCCTATTACCCTCCCCCCCCCTCCCAAATTTATTTTTAATTAATTTTCTATCCCTTTTCGGCCTACATGGCACTATCCTTGAAAAATTTGTCAACACGCGCTAGGCCCACAAGATAGTGTCACGTAGGCCGAAAAGGGATAGAAAATTATATATAAAATAAGTTCGGGAGGATAATAGGACCTTAATAAATGTTAGGTGTCTCAGAGGGATTTTGGGCATAGGTTGGGGGTATTTATGCATTTTTCCCAAATTAAATGTATATTTGTGTTGGTTTAAACATTATATACACCAATTAATATGTGTATTATGCTAAAATATGCATGTTATGTATTTATATTTATTATTTCTTTTATAGAGTGCAAAATCCTTTATGGACAAATAAAATTGAGGGGACGACATACTTTTGCCCAAACATAGAGAGATTACATTAGCATGATTACATAACAAATATAAATTGACAGTTCTAATACATTTGGTTAAACCCAAACAAGAAAATTTAAATATTTATTAAAATTCCGTTTTACCTCGGGCTTAATCAGCAATTGTCCAAGTCATATCGTTTTCAAAGATCCAGTGGCAAACCTCAATTTTCCCGGGTCCTGACCCGAGTGCAATGAAGGCTCCATGACTAGGTCCCCATGACGAAGTATCCACATGGCAAATGGCAACACCATGGTTGATCTTAGCCTTTGAATTCGAATCCAAAATATCAGCTTCATAGACTCGAACTTTAGGAACCGAATGACAGTAATACAGTAAGGAAGGGTACAAGGTTTGATGACAGGATACTGATTTGGTAACTTTTCCACCGTTGATTCCGTTGACAGATCCTATCATGATATTCCCATTTGACCCTTTTGTATTTTCAGTTGTTTGAACCACAACATTTCGACCCAACACTGATGTTGCGAAATCAATCATATCTTCAGCTGAGTTAACACACTGTTTCGTCTCGCCAGCGCTCGGTGCTCTTTCACACTCGCTCAAAGCATTTCCGATCATCTTTGCCACCTGAGAATCATTGGCGGCATGGAAAATTTTCTTCAGCTCACCAATTTTTGAGTATGACAAGGGTAATTTTGCAGCAATTACCCGGGGCAAAAATGACCTTTTAGGCATCTTATCCTTTATATCTGGCATAGGCATGATTGTACCACTCTTCAACATCTTCTCCCGGAAAAACTTTCCTGGCTCAACCCACCGGTTATTGTTCACCTTTTTCCGACCGTCAACCTCACTCGACGAAGCTAAATCGGAAGTTTCGTTTTGGTAATTGGAAAATGTGGCAGTATCTTTGACATAATCTTTGAAAGTGTTGTTAACTCCGTAAGTCTTAAAATTAATACGCGGGTCATTACCCCCTTTGCCGTAAGTAGTGAATACATCGGTACCTTCATTGAATGATTGACCATAGTTGGTGAAATTCGCTTCACCAGCATTTGCATCCTTGACATAGTTAATGAACTTGTCATCACCAACATTCGATTCATCTCTGTAGTGAGTAAAAGTTTCGGATGGACCATTACCTCCAACGCCATAGTTGTTGAAATTGTTTTGAGGATTATTGCCGTTAGTACCATAAGAAAAGAAATTTTGGTTTTCTCCATTTGCATTTTGACCATAGTTTGTAAATGTTGAGGCTGCAACATTAGTTTCGTTTCCATAGCTGGTGAATTTACTATCAGCACCATTCCCATTTTTGCCATAGCTTTTGAAAGATTGGCCACCAGAATTCCCTTGTTCTAAATAATTTTTGAATTCTTGCTCCCCGCCTGTTCCTTGATCGGAATAGGCGGTGAACCGCAGATCGGGGACATTGGTATTTGGGGCGTAATTAGTGAATTGGCCAGAACCCCCTGGAGTATTTGTGCTATAGGAATTGAAACTTTGTTCAATTACATTGCCATCAGGGGCATAATTGTCAAATTTATTATCACGGGGAGAACCTCTACCGTAACGTCTGAAAGAATTTACAGATGCATCCTTGGAATAGTTTTTGAAGGAGTTAACTCCGATTCCAGGTTCGTTGGTTCCGTAATTGGTGAAATTTTTGTTGCCGTAAGTGGTAAAGTGGATATCTCCGGTGTGTTTTACGAGACTTGGTGACAAATCTGGTGCACACATGAGATTTGCTGAAGAGCAAAAGGATTGGAGGTGTGTAGTGAGTGCATTTTGATCAGCAACAAGTTTAGTATAAGTTGCATATTGTGCAGCATTCAATGGAGATGCTTTGTTGAGAAGGAACCATGGCTTTGGTAAGTCATTTGAGACATGTTTTTTCCAGTATCTAATTAGATAACCTTTTGGTGTAAATGGGTTACCAGCATCACCAGAATTTTCTCCATCTCCAGCTACAACAATCTACAAACAGAAATTTTAATAGCTTAGTTGGTTGACTATCTGAATTTTTATCTTATCAGTGAAGATACGATTCTCCCTCACTTCACCTTTTGTTACCCTCAATTTACGAAAAAAAATAATCGCGAAACTATTTTTTGTAATCTTCAAAACAATGCCCTGCTGCGCGCATCCTTGTTAGATCCTCCAAAAATGCACTAATTTTAAAGAATTCATCACGTAGTACTCATCGACTATTTTTGAAAAATTCGAGCAATATAATATATAATCAAGTTATATATAAAAAAAATTCAAGAAACGTACGCAGTATTCAATGAGTTATTTTCCTTGCAAAAAATTAAAAAGGGTGTGATAGTGCTTTAAGGATCTCATTTGTGCTCCTTTGATCTATCGTAGAGATAACTTTCTTATTTCATTTTATAGCCATTAATCTACTACTGAATTATTAGCATCTAGATATTAACAACGAGAGCTCGACCGATCAGATCACGGAAAAGAGAAAGAAAAGTCGATCTCCGAGAAGCTTTTACATAGCTGAGTTTTATGGGATAATATCTTTTATGGTCTTATAAATGTAAAAGTCAAATAATCTACTATTACAAAACTTATTACTTTTTAAATTGTAATTGCTATCTTATTAGGTTCATCTGATATAATTGTTCAGAACCCACAAACAATTTCAACCAAGCTTTAAAATTTCTTTGAATATATATGTTCTTAAATTCATTCGAAATCATATGAGTAAAACATAAATCTAAAATTAATCCAAATAAAATTTATCGACTTATAAAATTTAAAATTAAATCCAAACCAAATAAATGTTGGTTTTTCTTCGTCGATTTTCGATTAACACCTTAATTAGGATTACTTCATTGACACCTCATGGGGTTACATCAAGTTACAAGAATCTACTCCTATCGTTTATTTTTATTTGTCTATAATGAACGCTGTATTCTCTTAAAGAAATAATAAATAAACTGCATATTTGTATCATAATATCTATATTCATTGGTGTAAAATCTCAATCGACTTAGAGAATAAGTAATTAATGTAGTGAAAATTTTATTTTTAGTATAGTAAATAAGTAAAGTGACGAAAAAAGTATATGACAAATCAGGATTACTTCATTTGACACCCGATGAGCCATCATTTGACACCCCATGAGTATATATATATAAAGTTTTTAGAATACTTATGACAAAATCAGGATTACTTGAAGAAACTTAAATGATGAGCATAAAAGTTAAAGATTGTTACTTACATTGAAAGATGGTAGTGAGAACAAAAGAACAAGTAAGAAGTAGGAAGAAACAAGATTTTTGTTATGCATTTCTTTTGTGTGAAACAAAGAGAATTGAGGTGAATAGTAAAAGGTTGGTGTGGATGTTTGGTTGGAGGCACACAATTTATAGTACAAGGTAGAGAAGATGATGGAGTGGTGTGTTAGTTATGTTCTAATTTAAAAACCACTTTTGAAACTTATGTTCTAAATTTTTTGAAGATTTGTGACTATAAATCAGTTTATCAAGAGTAAATGGAGAATTTTAAAGTTAAGTTATTTTTAATAATGAAAAAGTGATATTCTCTCTGTTTTAAAATGAATGACATGTTTTTCTTTTTAGGTGTAAAAGAGAATGACTCCTGTCCTTTTTTTTATAACACCTTAATTTCAGTTTTTTTACATGACATATTTAATGTCACAAGATTAAACGATATTTTGGTACAATTAACATAATTTTGATTTAGAAACATAAGATTAAAAAGTTTTGTTTATTTTTTAAAACTCCGTATCAAGTTAAACTAGGTCATTTTTTTTAAAACATTAACGCAAATTAAAACGGAAGAAGTAGTACCACTACTTTTGGTTTCTTGATTAATCACATGCTCTTGAGATGATTTGTTGTTGCAAAGTTTTCGGTAACTGGAAGATCGATTATAGCTTTTGCTTTGTTGATACTCTCTACCTAATTACTTGTGCACTTTTCTTTTCTTAGTTATCCTTAATTATTTGTTTATTTTGACATCAAGTAAGGATTAAAAATATTTACCTATTATAACCTCAATTAATTACTTTAAAAAAGGTAAACTTCTTGAAAATCATAAGTTTTTAATTCATCCACTTAATAATTAATAGGAGTAAAATGGTAAATTTATTATATTAATCATTGTTTTCTTAATAGATGTATCAATTCAAAAGCGGACAAGTAAATAGAGACACATGAAATAATAATCAAAATATAGGGAATCACTATATCGACTAGGTTTAAAGGGGAAAAAATACTCTGTATTTACCCTACTAATGATTTTTTTTCTTCCTAGAACTCGAATCTAAAATACTTACCTTAAGTGCTTGGGAACTAACCAATAGGGGCATCTGTTATGGGGTCAAACACCTAAATCTTATTTATAACGTAGAAATAAACCATTATGATTTATGGGTGCTGGAAAACATATTTTGTTTCCATCATAATATGGCGACAAGGTGTTTAACTATAAAGAAAAAAAATTGCATCTTATTATGATGAGCATATCTCGACTTTGGACAAAGAAAACTCATCTACTTTGTAAGAATTCACAATGATCGATGATATAAGTTATGCTTATTGCGGATCCTTTTCCACTGAAAAGGAAAATTTACATATCTAGGAAAACATAGCTACGTGCTATATCTATACAACTTATTGATATTTTCAAAAAATTAACATTTTAAATTTATATAGAAAAACTCTATTTCGCCTCCCTTCTCCCTCTCTCGCAATATTTTTTTTTAGATTGAAATACTGATAGACATATACACATATGTATCAATTATCAACCAAAAACATATACACATAGATGTACATGTGCATCTAATACATGTATAGTACTAGAAAAAATTATACATATATATATGCTATGAAATAGATCACACGTTGGTATAAAAAGAGTATAAAACATAGATACACAAATGTACTTATGTATCAGATACATGTATATTACTTTACTTAAAATTAAAATGTGAAACATAAATACACATAAATTAAGAGGGAGAGGAACGCGAGAGAGAAGGTGGAGTGAGAGAGATGAGAGGTAAGCGAGAGAGGAAAGATTTAAGCAATTCAGGGGTATCGTGCATAAGGTAAGTCAGGAGTATACTATACAATCGTATTTTGTGAAATTTTCCAAATAAAAAAAACTCGTAAGCCTCCTAACTGATATTTGCGATTCGATACCACACAAATAAATATAGTGCACGTAGTTGTTAATTTGTTGCTTTCATTTTCCTTTTAACGTTTCTCCACCTTCTTAATTACCCTTTCTTTCGTTTTCCCTTCCGTTAAAGAAAAAAGTATTTTTTTTCATATTTCTAATTTCATGTTGTTTGTTATGAACATCAATAAATGATCTTAGGACCCTTCACATTTTTAGTTGGATCCTACAATATGTTGATGGTGACTTCACCTTTATTATTACATCTCTATATAGTAAAGAAACTTACCATATTATATTCCTAGTTCAATTATTATCAACAAAGGCAAATGGAATTATGGAAATTAAGAAAAAGTAAAAGATCGTTAAATGTATGATTGAATTAAAAAATAATTGCATTTCTAGCACGTGGAGGAAAATGTTTTTTCTATTTTCTACTGCACCAGAAAAATCTTGGGAAAATATTTTATGAAAGAAACTTGTTTTCCTGAACTTAATTGGTGGAAAATGATTTTTCTAATAAACAGAAATTCACTTCCAAATTTAAAAAAAATGGAAAATTATCATAAATAGCGCTATTATAGATTATAACAAAGATTACATAGTTTTCAAATGCTCGCCAAATTTTATTTTTATTTAAAAATAAATAAAAATTATGGATACATACATACCTAGCTTGTGCATACACATGACGTAAAGTAAACACAGATCAAACATACACAAGATGTATCACATGTATGTCATATATATATATGATGATACACACATGATATACAATAACTTAAGCAAGAGATACAAGATCTATATACACATAATATACAAGGATATATTACAGGTATGTCACTTGTATTTCATGTATATATGTTAATTTGTATAATGATACACATGAATACAGTGAATTACATCCGTTATACACCTGATATACAGTTATTTCACTATCACCACCACCAAAAGAAAAAGGAAATCTATAGTTTCTTTAGGAAAAAATCCGATAAAAATAATGTGGAGAAGCGCCATTATATATTTTTTTTTCTATTTCATTGAAGATAAAGCAATTTTCATATTTCTTATTTTGTACATTATTATTAATTGATATAAACATCATTCATATTTTTAGTTGGATGGAACCTAGTTCCTACTGTATTAGTACAATATATATGTTGCATGGTGTGCTCCATGTTTATTATTAATGTTTTATTTATCACATATCTTCAACCTAGTATTAGAATAGCTTGATGTGTTCTTGATAGAAAGCAACATAATTTAATATTAGGATATAGAATCATAACGTTAATATATTCGCAATAGATTGGATGAATTTGACTCAGTAGAGCTATTTATATGGGACAGTTCAATCCATTCAAACTAGTCCACACGGGCTATGTAATTTGACGGGCCAAGCCAAGCTAGTTCATATTTTTGGTGGATCAGAAAACATCAGGTTCAACCCATCACTTTATGGGTTAGGGGTCACGTCTGGCCAGCTCACTTTTTAATATTTTTAAAATTTTAATTTAAAATTCAAAATGTTAATAAAAATCTACAACCGTACAAATAAATGATTTTTATAGACATAAAATTTCTATGAAACTAAATAACTTTTGACATGATACCACTCAAAATAAATAGAGATATTAATAAGAAAACTACTGGGTCATTTGGTATAGTGTGTATAGAAATAATGTCCAATATATAGAGTGTATTAATAATGTTTGCATTAGTAATGCTTGTTTTAGTTATGCTTATATTAGTTGTGCCTAGATTATTTCTTATGCATTATTTGGTTTGATGTATTAAAAACAGCATGTATAGTATAAAAATATTTATTTACAAAAATATCCTACACAATTATGGTGGAAAATATGTAAAAGGACTTCTGAGGTTATTACTGCCTAGAAATTCATTGTATTAGTAATACATTCTTCAATACATAATAAAGTGTATAAACATTAGTTATACATAGCATTAAAAAAGTATACCAAACTTTTTGCTTCTTTTTAACATTCCTTTTTTTATATATAGATTTTGAGGCTTGAATATCATCATTTCTGTTGAGGGAGTTTTCCCCTTGTTTTTGATTAAGTTGTTGCATTGATGTGAGGCCATTGCGATTGTTTGTACACGTCTCGTTTACCACTGTATTAGTAGAGACTGTAATTTTGGTTTGCTCTTGAGCGATACACAAATTTAAAGATGGTACTTTAATTAAAAAATATTTGATAATGTTATACCTTGTGCAACCTCCTTCAAAGTACTAATTTTCTTTATTATAATTGAGAAAATAAAAGGTTAAACTAAAACCCTATAAATTTGAAATTAGAGATACTCTTACACAAATACAATGAAAAAATAAAACAAGAAAAAAAAATCGATATCTGAAAAATAAAAATAACAAATTAGATGCAGAAATCGTGCAAATTATTTTGATCTTGAAAGAGAGAGATTATATTGAGAATATCATAAGGAGTTGTGACCGAGAAATGCGCCTGCAAAGAATATGATGGCATTCAAGTTTCTCTTTGCTAATCAATATTAAAATTTATTCATATGTAATAATTATTTTAAAATGTAGCTATAGACACTAAATACTTATTAATGCTAGCTATGTTGTGTAGTTTTTCCAAAAATCTATTCTAAAATTGGCTTCAAAAATCTTAGTCCAACACTATCAAATTATGAGTTAGGCCAAACCGGCCTAATGAGCCTAGCTCATATTAACGACTCTAAGTTTGAGTCTTACATCCACTTATTATTATTATATATATATATATATATATATATATATATATATATAAAAATTACCTAAATACACATTTTATTTTATCATAATCTCTAAAATTTTCTACTATTTAAAAAGAAATCAAAAATCTCATCTCGGATACATCACTCCCCTCTCGTTGATACATCCCTATCCCCCTCTCAAATACATCCCTCCCCCCCTCTGATACATCCCTCCTCTCTCGGATACATCCCTCCCCTACGTATCCGGATGTCCTATCCTCTCTCTGATACATCCCTCCCCTCTGATACATTCCTTCCATATGTATTCAGATGTATCCGAAAATCTAATGATGTATCCGAAATCCATAAATTTTAAGAATTTTAAGATTTTTTGTAATTTAAAAAAGAATAGAAAAAAAATATAATTATCTCTTAACATTATAATATTTGTGTAAATTGCATTCACGTGATTTTGGCCCATGAATAAAAAAGAATTAGACAAACATGAGGGGTGCATGTTGAGAATAGAATAGTAGCTTATGAGATGATTGATCTCATGATTAACATTTTGGCAAGGAAACATAGACTAATATACCCCTCACTATATCACGTTTAAAAAGTAGTAAAAATATATCATCTTCGTATAACAAATGATGCATATATACTCTTGTTGTCTAATAAATAATATAAATTTATTTTTTTCGTTTGCAGACTGAATTTAAAAAATGCTAAAGCTGATTTTTTGGAGAAAGGTCAAATATACCCCTCAACTTTGTAATTCCTCGTTTAAAAGATGGTGCATATATAGATATCTCTATTGTATTACAAACGGTGCATATTATCCTTTTCGTTAACATACCTTTATTTACTAAATTTAAGAAAAATTAAAAATTGGTGTTTTAATTCCAATAATGTCAAAATATGAACAACAAAATATATAAGATCAGTGCGTTCAAGTTGGAGCTAAAAAAATACACTACACTTTCGGTTAACGTTAAAAATTACTGATAATACACCATCTTAAATTCAAAGAAAATACAAGAATTTATTATATTTTGAAATATAAATATGAAAGAACAAATAAGTTGACACATTTCGTCACTCGATAAGCACACTTTGATTTCCATTATTTCTTTTGCACTAACGAAGTACTCCCTCCATTTCATATTAATTGAATTTTTGAGGTATTTTTTATTTTTCAAATTAATTTAATTGTTCAGTTTTCAAGATAACTTTTAGAGTGTTCTTCCAATTTTACCATTCATTTGGATTTTCAATGTGATGACTTTAATAAATTTGACAATAATTAATAAGGGTAAAAATGGAAAACTATGTTTAATTTATGTCTTAATCTACTTTTCTTAAAGGGTGTGAAACACCTCAAATAAATTTGACAATAATTAATAACGGTAAAAATGGAAAACTATATTTAATTTATGTCTTAATCTACTTTTCTTAAAGGGT